ACAGCTCATCAGTGTGTCTAGACGTCTGGTTGCCTCTCGCTAAGATTGAAACCCGGCTGAATTGCCGTTTGCGCAGCGCTGGAATCAAAGTAAATTTATGCGTATTTATTTTCGGATAAACACTCAGTGACTGGGACAACTCCATTCGCTTTACCGAATAGCCTTTTATATATATATATATATATATATATATATATATATATATATATATATTTATTCCTTCTAACAAAAAAACACTGAAATTTTAATGTTGAACGTGTTTAAAGGCAAGAAGATCCTTGTAAAGAAAGTGTTCAATATATATTTTAAGAAGCAACTATAGTTAAAACAATGGAAAATTAAGACGACCGACACGACGCTTGTCATGATCAGAAATATTTATTGAATTCACTACTAGATATGACACACAGTCACACAGGCAAATGCACACACACATACATATCTATATATGTCTCTCGTTTAGATGGTCTTCACAGATATAACTTATTTATATCTATGAAGACAATATAAATAATATATAATTTATATATAATTTATTTATATCAGAATTTTAATTACACATACATGTGTGTGTGTGTGTGTGTGTGTGTGTGTGTGTGTGTGTGTGTGTGTGTGTGTGTGTGTGTGTGTGTCAAAAGTCTGATATAAATAAAGTATATCTGTGAATACAGTATAAATAAAAGAGAAAAGTAAAACTTTTCTTTACCAACGCGTTTAATCACCTGCGGGACCTTATCAAAGTAAATGTAGAGATTTGGTGGAAGAAATGTGTTTCTTTTGTGTTATAATATATATATATATATATATATATATCCGTCCGGCGAAGGCATTTTCACCGAGCCGCGAGCCTGATTACCAATGACTCTATTTTTAACATGAGAGACGACCTTCAAATGAAATTTGTTATATGTCATTTTCCATAGAATGTCTACACATCTCAGTGCACTGAAAATATTAGACTGCCAGTTATCTTTCATGAGACTTATTTTACCAAGTTGCATTGACTACGTTTAATGTCAAATAATGGATACATATTTGTTATGAACCTTGGCTACATTAAAAGATAACAGAAGCGAAAGGAACGATAAAGTGAAAGAGGCCAGGGAGGGACTGACATGCGAGGTAGCAGAAATCTAAAGACAGTTAAACATACGCGCATTATACATACATGCCTCATGAATGTGTGGATGATACCGCATGTGTACGTACGTAAGTGTATATGTTTGCAACTATTTGTACTCGTATGTATGGGTATATGTGCTTCGTTTTTGTTTGATGTGTGTGTGTATGGTTCGTTTGTGGAACAATTTTCAATAACAGTTTCAAACCTACATGTCATAATTTCATCCATTTCACTTTGGTTGATTTATTTCACTTTGAAGTATTTTGACATTCCTTGAGGAAAAGTAATTTTTGTTAAGTGTTTTTTTTTTTAATTTTAGATTTTCTTTTGTTTTACTGATTTCTCAATGTTTATTTTCATTATGATTTTAAATATTTAGGTTGACAGGGATCTGCATATGTAATTGTCCTTAATTTTTCATTAATGGCCTTCGTCCGGCCCGCGACCCGACATTATAACATGATCCGGCCCGCGTGGTCGAATGGGTTGCCGATCCCTGATTTACTTCATACAGATTACTATTTCGTTCAAGGGAAATAAGTTTTCCCCTGGACTTATCAATGCAAATACATTTACTAAAATGAATGAATTCCCACGTTTCTTCATGTGCAAAACCACTTTTCTGGAAGGCATTTTTGTACAATGCCTTATTGTTATCAAATGTATTCTTATATAGATGACAGTTTATTGATTCTAGAACCATCGGTAACTGGTATCTGCTTCAAGATGTATGATCGGTGGTTCGAGTTAATGTTAATATAATTAGGAGTTTCGTATTCCCTGTAGTAAGGTTCAAATGTATTATAATTCAAGTTAAGCCTGATGTCAAGGTAATCAACTATTTTTAATTTGGAAGTGATCTCTATCTTGAACCCCAGGAGCTTAATAGCTTAAAGTGGTTTTGCACATAAACTATCTTACTTAAACCCCATAAATAATCATAGTGAAGTTAAGAGTAGCAATCCACATGAAAACAGAAAAAGAAATATTATTTTGTTCAACCCCACTTCTATAGATTATCTAGAATTATTATTGGACAACTGAAACTTATGAACAAACATTTTCAAAATAGCAACCCTGTAGGTAAGATCTTTAATAGAAAAACTATTAAAATAAGGTATTCATATACTAACAACATGTTTAGAGTAATTGACTCCCACAGCAAATATATCCTTAACAAATTCAGTGTTATCAACAAGAATTCTAATAAAAAAACCTTTTAATTGTAGAACTAGCAACCTTTGGTCAGTCGATGGAAAATGTAGAGTATCTAATGTTATTTATAAAGCCACTATTTACACAAATGAAAATAAATCAAACCACCAAGTTTACATCGGGATTCTGCGGGGGGAATAGAAAAAATGACTTTATAACCAAAGACAATTTTTTCCAAACCAAGACGAAAACACCAAACTATTCTCTACCCAAAATTCTGGGAATTGAGGGTGAAAGATCTGAATCCTCAAATTGACTGGGAATTTATAGGTTTTGCTCTGACACCAAATAGTTTTAAGGGTAAATGTAATTTATGTTTGGAGGAGAAAATTAAAATCATTCAATTTAAGAATCAAGATATTCTACAAAAAAAAAAGAAAGAATGAACTGGTATCCAAGTGTTGCCATAGAAAAAAATTCCAACTGACATAATATTATTTTCAACCCCCACACTATAAGTATCGCCACAGGAAAAAGATTCATATAAATTAGTATCACTTTAACTTCACACTCCTTTCTTTCAGTTATATTTTGTATGTGATTTTTTTTCTTTTATGACATCTTCCCTATATGTAATTTTTTTCTACATAGGAAATTGTTTTCGAGATGTAGAATCTCATTCTATATTCAAATATTTCTATACCTATTAAATGTTTTCTATATGTGGAATTTTCTTCTATATTTAAATAGTTCTCTCCCTGTTAAATGTTTTCTATATGTGGAATTTTCTTCTATATTTAAATAGTTCTCTCCCGGTTAAATGTTTTCTATATGTGGAATTTTCTTCAATATTCAATTACTTTTTCTCCATTAACTCTACCATCTTTCACATACATTACTTGGCCTATGAGGTTTTTAATTCCTTAATCCTCCTCTATCTTCTTCTTATATTCCTCTATCTTCTTTTTGACTACCTTATTATAAAATTATTTTTTATATACTGAATTTAAATTTAATCACTTACAGAATTTTTAAATAATTAGTATAAGTCCGATATAATTTAAATTATAAATTCAATATTTGAAATATTATATTGATATAATGAAATTGGTTATTTTTAAATGAAATTGATATATTAATAATTTACTTAAATTTTTTTAACTGTAACTTTTACTATATAGTTAAAGATGTAGTATTGAATGGATTAATATTAACATCTTTTTATATAAGTATCATTTTAAATTCTTACTCTCATTATATATTCTGCTCTTTTTCTTTTCTTTTTTTTTGTCCATGCTTCCTGTTTGCGCAGGAGTTTATAGGTTACATTTAGATCAGCGTCCATTTTCAAACTTCGCGTTTATCTGTACTGATTCCACCATAATCACTTAGGTTCCTTACCCCCTCCATATATATACTCCCTCCTTTATTACAGGTCAATTCTTACTCCCTCTCCTTTTATTCTTTCTTTTTCTTTTATCCGTCTTTCCTTCCTTTACCTTTCAAATTTCCTGTGAACAAACGTGGGAATTTATTCATTTTAGTAAATTTATTTGAAGTCCAGAGGAAAACATCTTGCTCATGAACGAAATGGTCATCTGTATGAGGTAAATTGTTTGAATCTCATTAATTGTAATTCACTTATATGGTATATAATGATAAATATACTGAGCTCTCTAGTGGATCAGTTTTAATATTTTTATTAATAGGATCTACTTGAATTACTTAACCATCGATTCTTTTACATGTTATATATATATATATATATATATATATATAAAAGTGAACATAGAAGTCAACACTTAGCATGAAACTGACTGTCTGCCTCTAAGTGTTCACTTATATGTTCACTTTTATATTTACAAACGTTCTATCTCTGATATCGAGCACTATATCTCATAAATATAGCACATCTTAAGACTATATTTCTCCATATATATATATATATATATATGTATATGTGCGTAAGGAACGCTATATTCAGCGTTATATAATATATAAAAAAATATTCAAACTAGTCCTCTGGTAAATTAAACAACGAGAATTTCAAACTAATGTCTCGGAGCCTGATGAATTTGAACCTGAGATAAATTTGAGCCTGAAATTTTTTCCTATCTTATATATATATATATATATATATATATATATATATATATATATATATATATATATATATATATATATATATGAAGGGAGATAGAAAGAGGGAAAGAAAGAGAGAAGAAAAAATTAAATGCGAATCGGAATATTTTTTTTTTTTAGAAATGTGTTATTGTTGACGGATAAAAACTTTTGGAATGTGCAGTCGCAACAATAAGGTTGAATTTTTTTGAAAAAAAATCTGTTTGCATGTGGGTGTGTGCTGAAAATTTCTCGGTTAAACGAAAAACACACCAACCACGTATAGCTGCATAAAGACACACATGCGCTTGTGTGTGTATGTTGGTAAAAGTACAGGGAATCTAATCAAAAGCCTCGAGTTGCATCAGGCTTGGATTTCTCTACTTATGAAAAAGGCAGTCGCACTCTATGCCCTTGGCCCATATTTTCCCTAAATCCCTGAAGAAATTATTTTCTTATTTTAATGACAGCAGCTTAACTATATCTTTGAAAATGCATATTATTTACACGCAAGACACAATATATATTCTTTTTTAAAAACAAAAACGAAATATCACACGGGGAGATTTTTCCTGACAAAACGTAAATTTGATGACTTTTTTTAAAAAACTTGTTTACGTTTTTGTTTTATATTTTCTGTAGATGTGGTAGAAAGAAAGAAAGAAAGAAAGAAAGAAAGAAAGTAAGAAACGAAAGAAAAAACGAAAGAAAGAATAACATCAAGAAAGAAGGAAGGGAACAGAGAGAAAAGGCAGGAAAGAATGAGGGAAAAAGAGCTCTGATGAATGCAAAGAAAGAAAGAAAGAAAGAAAGAAAGAAAGAAAGAAAAGAAAGAAAGAAAGAAAAAAAAAAGGTGGGAAGGCAGGAACAGAGGAAGAATCTGGATAGCATTAGAATAAAGAGATCGACGACTTTTATCAAGGGAACTCGAAAAAAGAAAGAAAATCATTGGAAAAGGAATAAGAAAGGAAGAAAGAAACAAAGAAAGAAAAAGAAAAAAGAAAAAAAGAAAGAAAGAAAGAAAAAAAAATCTGAAAATCATTAGAAGGCAGGAACAGAGGAAGAATCTGGATAGCATTAGAATAAAGAGATCGACGACTTTTATCAAGGGAACTCGAAAAAAGAAAGAAAATCATTGGAAAAGGAATAAGAAAGAAAGAAAGAAAGAAAAGAAAGAAAGAAAGAAAGAAAGAAAGAAAGAAAAAGGTGGGAAGGCAGGAACAGAGGAAGAATCTGGATAGCATTAGAATAAAGAGATCGACGACTTTTATCAAGGGAACTCGAAAAAAGAAAGAAAATCATTGGAAAAGGAATAAGAAAGAAAGAAAGAAAAAAAAGAAAGAAAGAAAAAAGAAAGAAAGAAAGAAAGAAAGAAAGAAAAGAAAAAAGAAAAAAGGGAAGGCAGGAACAGAGGAAGAATCTGGATAGCATTAGAATAAAGAGATCGACGACTTTTATCAAAGGAACTCGAAAAAAAAAAGAAAATCATTGGAAAAGGAATAAAAAGAAAGAAAGAAAAATTCAAAAAAGAAAGAAAGAAAGAAAGAAAGAAAGAAAGGCAGAAAGAAAAAAAAAAATCTGGAAAAAGGCAGGAACAGAGGAAGAATCAATCTTTATAGCATTAGAATAAAGAAAGAAAACTTTTATCAAAAAGAAAAAAAAAAAAGAAAGAAAAAAGAAAAAAAAGAAAGAAAGAAAGAAAGAAAGAAAGAAAGAAAAAAAGTGGGAAGGCAGGAACAGAGGAAGAATCTGGATAGCATTAGAATAAAGAGATCGACGACTTTTATCAAGGGAACTCGAAAAAAGAAAGAAAATCATTGGAAAAGGAATAAGAAAGAAAGAAAGAAAGAAAGAAAGAAAGAAAGAAAGAAAGAAAAAAGAAAAGAAAAAAAAGGTGGGAAGGCAGGAACAGAGGAAGAATCTGGATAGCATTAGAATAAAGAGATCGACGACTTTTATCAAGGAACTTTTCAAAAACTGAAAAAAGAAAGAAAATCATTGGAAAAGGAATAAGAAAGAAAGAAAGAAAGAAAGAAAGAAAGAAAAAAGAAAGAAAGAAAAAAAAAAGGTGGGAAGGCAGGAACAGAGGAAGAATCTGGATAGCATTAGAATAAAGAGATCGACGACTTTTATCAAGGAAACTCGAAAAAAAAAAAAGAAAAATCATTGAAAAGGAATAAGAAAGAAAGAAAGAAAGAAAGAAAGAAAAAGAAAGAAAGAAAGAAAAAAAAGGTGGGAAGGCAGGAACAGAGGAAGAATTAGCATTAGAATAAAGAGATCGACGACTTTTATCAAGGGAACTCGAAAAAGAAAGAAAAATCAAAAGGAAAAGGAATAGAAAGAAAGAAAGAAAAGAAAGAAAGAAAAAAGAAAAAGAAAGAAAGAAAGAAAAAAGAAAAAAAGGGGAAAGGCAGGAACAGAGGAAGAATCTGATAGCATTAGAATAAAGAGATCGAAAGACTTTTTACAAGGAACCTGAAAAAGAAAGAAAAGATCGACGACTTTAAAAGGAATAAGAAAGAAAAGAAAACAAAGAAAAAGAAAAAAGAAAGAAAGAAAGAAAGAAAGAAAGAAAGAAAAAAAAAAAAGGTGGGAAGGCAGGAACAGAGGAAGAATCTGATAGCATTAGAATAAAGAGATCGACGACTTTTATCAAGGGAACTGAAAAAAAAGAAAATCATTGAAAAAGGAATTGAAAAAGGAAAGAAGAAAAGAAAGAAAAGAAAGAAAGAAAGAAAAAAGGGGGGAAGGCAGGAACAGAGGAAGAATCTGGATAGCATTAGAATAAAGAGATCGACGACTTTTATCAAGGAACCTGAAAAAAGAAAGAAAATCATTGAAAAAGGAATAAGAAAGAAAGAAAAAAAGAAAGAAAGAAAGAAAGAAAGAAAGAAAGAAAAAAAAAGGTGGGAAGGAAAGAAAGAAAGAAAAAAGGTGGGAAGGCAGGAAACAGAGGAAGAATCTGATAGCATTAGAATAAAGAGATCGACGACTTTTATCAAGGGAACTCGAAAAAGAAAGAAAATCATTGGAAAAGGAATAAGAAAGAAAGAAAGAAAGAAAGAAAGAAAGAAAGAAAGAAAGAAAGAAAAAAAAAAAAAAAAGGGAAGGCAGGAAACAGAGGAAGAATCTGATAGCATTAGAATAAAGAGATCGACGACTTTTATCAAGGAACTCGAAAAAAGAAAGAAAATCATTGGAAAAGGAAAGAAGAAAGAAAGAAAGAAAGAAAGAAAGAAAAAAGAAAGAAAGAAAAGGTGGGAAGGCAGGAAAAGAGGAAGAATCTGGATAGCATTAGAATAAAGAGATCGACGACTTTTATCAAGGAACTCGAAAAAGAAAAAAATCATTGAAAAGGAATAAGAAAGAAAGAAAAGAAAGAAAGAAAGAAAGAAAAGAAAAAAAGGGGGGAAGGCAGGAACAGAGGAAGAATCTGGATAGCATTAGAATAAAGAGATCGACGACTTTTATCAAGGGAAAAAGAAAAGAAAGAAAATCAATGAAAGAAAAGGAATAAAGAAAGAAAGAAAGAAAGAAAGAAAAAAGAAAAAGAGAAAGAAAAGAAGGCAGGAACAGAGGAAAGAATCTGATAGCATTAGAATAAAGAGATCGACGACTTTTATCAAGGAACTCGAAAAAAGAAAGAAAATCATTGGAAAAGGAATAAGAAAAAGAAAGAAAAAATCAAAGAAAAGAAAGAAAGAAAGAAAGAAAGAAAGAAAGAAAAAAAAAAAAAAGGTGGGAAGGCAGGAACAGAGGAAGAATCTGGATAGCATTAGAATAAAGAGATCGACGACTTTTATCAAGGGAACTCGAAAAAAGAAAGAAAATCATTGGAAAAGGAATAAGAAAGAAAGAAAGAAAGAAAGAAAGAAAGAAAGAAAAAAAAAAGGTGGGAAGGCAGGAACAGAGGAAGAATCTGGATAGCATTAGAATAAAGAGATCGACGACTTTTATCAAGGGAACTCGAAAAAAGAAAGAAAATCATTGAAAAGGAATAAAAGAAAGAAAGAAAGAAAAAGAAAGAAAGAAAGAAAAGAAAGAAAGAAAGAAAAAAAAAAAGGTGGGAAGGCAGGAACAGAGGAAGAA